GACTGGCCTATTCGATCGATCTCCTTCCAGCCCCTCTTTCCAAAGTTCCTGAATACATCTCTTTTATCTGCCCTACCCTTCTACCAGCGATAAAAAAACTGCCCACTTGAGTGCGCCCTGCGATCGTTTTATGAGAATTGCCGAGGACGCGGATGCTCAACGCCTTGTTTTTTTTGCCCTGCAATTAAGAGCGACGTCTCGTCTTGGGTGTACCAGCTACTTGGGATTTTCTACGGCACGGTTTGATTGTAGTTGGGAAGACGGAAAAAGTCTTTTGGTATGTAAAACGAGAAAAAATTTATGGGAAAGGGTTATCCTTGAGACATCTTTGATCTCGAAGGTAGCAGAGCAGGGCTTCGAAGGACACGCGTTTAATTCCTCCCTTAGAAAACCCATCGATTCAACTTCGAGACACTGATAAGAAAATAAAAGTCTTTTTTTTTCAAGAAAAAAGAAAATACGTTACGTTACCTATGTAAAACAGTCGTGGATCGATAAAATTTAGGTTAATTTATCTGTCTATAGGAACCCATAGTTGTAACTCCTGCTTAATTTTTTTATCAAACTGTTGTATAAGGTACAGCTTACTTAATGTAAATTTGAGCACACTTTAAATGCTTTTGTTGTAAGGAACTGAGAATTATTTTTCATACATTTTTTTGAGTAAATTACAGTCTCCCAAGTTGTTAAAAATAAAAAATTATTGTCTCACTTGATTTTTAGAACTATTGCTATCTACCGCCTCACTATAACTATTATTAATATTTTTATTTTCGTAGCAGATATTATAAGGCATTATTATTATAACGATGGACAATACTTCAGACAAAGGCATTTTTTGCAATCATTGAGCACTTTGCTGATCGACGTGAGGCTCAGTTAATAACTTGCAAACCTAAGATGAACGTGGCTAGAAATTAATTATCTTGTGCCTTGAGGACAAAATGTTTGTTTTTTATTAGTGGAAATTTTTATCCAGCTGACATAGAAGTGAAAGATCTTGGATATTTTATTTAAAACTTTAGTAAGCAATGATTGGGATGTCTCAAAATTTTCGTGGCATTTTTTCCTCCGTTGCACAGCTGTGTTGAAAAAAAATGAATTTTTTTTTCTAGTAAAAATTTTATTTGTTTTTCAGTACCCAAAGTTTTTATTTTATCTATGCGTAATTTATTTCTGTAATCTACTACGTGTTGCATGACACCATTTTACAATATGGGTCTTCTTGTTCTTGTTCTTGTCTTGTTCTTGTCTTCTTTTACAGCGCATTTCACGCATTTACAATCAATACGAATTTGATATTTGTAATCCACTTTGACAGTATGATATCGTTAATAACATAATAATAGGTATTTGAGCATACATCTGTGCATATAGCGTGGAGTGAGCGATGTTAAAACCCCAGTTCTAATTGAGACGATTACTTCATGGAGGTTTTTTCACTGCTGGTTTTCATCGAAGCTATTGTATGAAAGTATATATACTGCTTCAGAAGAGGATAAAGAGCTACGTTACTTCTTACTTTCAAGTGAGACGAGGGTATCGTAATTTCGTGCCACAATACGGTTTTTAATACCTATCAATTAAAAATTGTAACCTTATACTCCCACTGTGCAGGGAAAAAAATTTAATGTTCGGAACAATTTTAGACCTCGCTTTTGTTTACAAGATCTCAGACCTGTCAGGTAAACAGTTCATTACGCAATGAGGGATCAAAAGAGGCGTGTAATATTTTTATTTCACGCAAACTGGTCGGTTTGCCATAAAATTACAAACTACTATTTTTTATTAACACAAAAGTAAAAACAAGAAGTATTTCAAATTTAAAACTGACTCGTTGAGTTTTGTTTCTACATAACGTCTAGATTATCAACTCTGTGACAGTAACGAGAAAATATAAATTGTTTTCAAAACAAAATAAGAGTAATAATATAATCAATTATTTTATAAAGCTTGAAAATAATTACTTTAAAATTTAGACAGCTATTTTAATTATGATAACTTTGATATATCATCTTTTAAATATCTAACAGTAATGTATTCATTAAATGTAGATTTGAAAGTACTTAAAGTATCTTTATTAATCCTGTTAAATTAACCAAAAGTTAATTATACAATTAATGCGAATAAAAGGCAAGATAATTAATTACACACTTTTTAACATGGTTTACAAAGGCTTCCGTGTCATTGAATGTAAATAATTTTCTTAAATTTCTTTCCACAACTATTATTTACTCTTGAAAGATCATGTTGACCCTTGTGCATATCAAGGCACATAGTATGAAGAAAATTCTTTCCACAGACACTGCAACGATTATTCGCACATAATATGTCATCCTTAATATTTCTTCTACTGGCACTGAACATATTTGTAAACGACACCCTTGCACTATCAGATGATGACAATTGAACGGATTTAACAGTAGGTCTTAGCCTTGCTTTGAGGTAGTAAGAGTAATTGTACGGTGTAATCAGGATGGGGTTGCCTTGTTTGAAAACTGGTTTTCCTGTTGATAAGAAAAGTTCAGAGTTAAGGTGAGTCATAGATGGCTAAGTAGTTGGGGTACTAGTCTCCTTCCTTTCGAGACTTGAAAGATTTTAAAGAGAATTGTCACTGAAGTATAGCAGATGTTTTTATGAGTAAGAGAATTTCGATATGGCCATACGTTCCGTGGATCGGTCGTTACAAAAATTTACAAAAAATTTTACAGGTTTTGACGACAATAGAGTAAAGAGATCTATGACCAGTAAATATTTCTTTGAAATTTTCAATCGTTTGGTTTTTAAAGCTTTTCATTTTTATAATTTTTTAAAGAGATGATTCATCCAAATCATATGAAACAAGTGCTAAACGTTCACAAGAAAATTACTGTGTGAATAAATGAACAAATAAATTATTCTTACGTGCAGTTTTTTTCATTGATAGAGTTGAGTTTGACAAAGGAGTTGTATCAATACAGCACAAGCTATTACAAAAGTATCACGTTGCTGATCTGAATAATTTTAAGACCAAAAAATTACGTCTTCAGACTGTTAAATCTGCTATTCGTACAGTTACGCACCCAAAAAGTAAATGCGTTCACTCTCCAAATGGCTTCACTACTTATAGTCCACAATGATAACGATACAGTTAATAGTTTAATAAGTGTCTCACTACAGTACATGTACATCTTTTTTTTACGTATGACCGCGTTTTAGATCTGACGTTAAAAAATGCTATTTTTATTTTACAATACATACATAAAACTTAAAAACTATAGAGACGATACATGTAAAGTAAAAGTTAAAGGTACCAATTAATGGTGGTTAATATGTATAGAATTTTTTTATTATAAAAGTCTTAGAATATCTTAGTTTTATGTGTGAAACATTTATTTTGATTAATGTAAGGTAATAATGATAAAATTTTTCACTTTAACATTAATTTAAGGAACTGAGAATTATTTTTCATACATTTTTTTGAGTAAATTACAGTCTCCCAAGTTGTTAAAAATAAAAAATTATAACTCTGAGCAGCATTTTCTGGCATATGCTTTTAAAAAAATATTTCAAGTTATCTGTACTCGACGTTACAAAAATAAGAGCTCTGAAAGACACCTATTAGAACGTGTTCGTTATCTGCATTTTTTAATTTAAAGTCACATAATTTATATAATAGATTTCCCAATTCCTTTATCTGCGATGCATTAGTTTTATATGGTAAAAAAATATCAAAGTTGCCGTACAACGATGTTATAAAAAAGTAGGTGGTTTGTGAGGAAAAAAAATACGAATCCAACAGTTACATCAATTCACAAATGCTTCGTTGTCCACAGAATCAACATTATAACAACAACACACACGTCTAAATAAATAGCAATTTTCATACTCAAAGAATCATTGACCTCACTAGAAAAAATTTACACCAGTTTATTTATGATTCTTTACTCGTGTGACGCATTATTTTTCACTTGCAAGCAAAACAGTTACGAAACGTCATGAAAATGCAGCATCATGTACGCAAAAAAATATTGAAAGCAGAATTCACTGGAATAATGATAAAAACCAAAAAAGCGAAACAAGTTTACGACACTGAGGAGCTTGGCGCGATATTCCTTTCATCTCCACTCGACCTATACCTCGTTTTTCCTTCTTCGTCGCGACAGAAGTTTACGTTACGTTTCCCCTACGTGCTCTCGCAACACCTGTACGCATGTACTTATGCACACGCACGGGAGTTAGACGCCTCTTCTCTTGTAACCATGCAGTTGCTCCAAAGAGAGAATTAAAGTAGAAAAATAATATATATGAGTGAAAATGAAGGTCGAGCAAAAAATTTATCTGGAGTATTTTCTGCACTTTATTTAAATGCATTGTCACACGATGTTATCCACTGGTACATTACTAGTTATACTTACGGTGAAGTACGGATTGATCAGGATCGAGGCTGTTTTTCCAGTTAGGGAAAACACGGAAAAAAGTTTTTTCGCAGCTTTTGTCTAAAAGTTCCACAAGCGAGAATCGGTTTTTCGAGTCCATCAAGTTTAGCAGCTCGCGATGCTAACCACTAGGCTATCGGGGATAACTTTATAGATTTATATATTGTATGTTATCGCTTCCAAAAACTACATGAATTTTTAAAAAGTATTATTAACTTGTTTATTCAATTTTTTACTATAAAAATTTAAGCTCCTGAGAGCGTGCAATATAAACTGTATGTAATATTTTTATAATATTAACATAATAGTGTACAGTAACCAAAAGTGCAACACAAAACTTTGGTAGACGAGTCGGATGGCTCGGAATGTCAGACGAAGATGTAAGCTTCTTATTAATTATTAAACGTTGCTTTTACGAGGAAAAACGTCATGCCCGAACAATCCCCAAAGCTGCTTTACGTTTAACCGACTTTTTTCGAGGCTTTTTCAAAATAAAAATGAAATAAACGTCTACGCAAACAAATATGCGAAAAAAATGTTAAATAATAAAAGAAAAAAAAAATCTTTTTTTTTAAATTACAGTACGATGCAACTAGTCCTGGCCGGTACGGTGGCGGCGGTGAGTACGACGTGCAGAACGGCTTCGGCTGGACGAACGGCGTGGTGCTCGAGTTCCTCGCCACCTACCCGGATTTAACTTTCAACAGCAATGCCGAGAAGCGTCCGCACTACGAGAGATTCGGTAGGTAAAGTAAGTGTACGTAAGTACCCGTGTCAAGGTGATTGATGTCGATTTCAATGTCCTCCCCCCGATCGCATGGAGCTCAGTCTAGTCTAGATGCTGTGATCACGTGATTCTCGAGGGGCTCGCGAATATGACTGAGACAAATGCCTGCTTTTCACTTCCAGCTTTTGTATACGTTACACAGGCGCTTCCAATTTTACCGTCCCCTCGTCCTCAACCATGCGGATCATGATCCGCGGGTTTGTGAATGAAACGATACCCCACACCAATCGGATTCATCTTTGAAGTTATGATTCATTAGTTTGGAGGGTGTGGTTGCGATGATCGTTTTCCGGTGTTTTTTCATGTACAATCTAGATATTGCCATGGTGACTTCAAAGCTTGGAAGCCAACGATTTATACTGATACGTGGAGAAATCGAACACGCATTTATCATTCTCGTGATGCAAATTGAGTTTATGTGTGGCTTGGATGAAATATTCAAGAAAAGAAAAACGAGACCCGCGCTTTGAAAGTAATTTTGTGGAGCCGAGAGTCCTTGTGATAATCAAACGTTATAAATCGCGTCGTATTTTGATTAATTATCGTAATGAAGTATACAAGCACTCGGATGATCAATGTACAGCATCGAAAACGTGAGATTACATCTTCAAAAGCATCAGCGGGTGCAATTCAACCACGGGATGAAATTAAAAGCCATTTATCCTTAAGGCGGATACTAAGATGCTAATTTACCATAGAGGAGATTAAGCTCCGGTATTTTACCGCCCAAGAGGCCAATTTCTCCGGGGGTATACCTCCGAGTTTGCTTCGCACCCACTCGCGCCGGATCTATGTATCTTTATCTCGCCAGACTTTCCACCGCTTTCTCGCACTTTGGCTGCGATTTATGATTCCGCGTCCGTGATCTTTTTACACAGACCCGCCTTTTTCCCCCCATCGTCTTCCGTGCCCACTCCGTTCTATTTTCTGTTACAGCGTCAAAGATTTTAAGCTGATTATCTTCCGACGAAGAAAAAGACAGTAGGTACTCTAATTTGTGAAGTCTGGCTGCTACTGTTGTTTCTGATTTATTGGTACGAGTTCGAAAGAGATAAGACCCTTTGGTATTTAATTCTCTGATTTATGCACTGGATTTTTTTCTCAGTCGTACCAATTCGTTTGAGATTGTTTTGTTTTCACTTCTGAACAAGAAAATATATCCCATACGTAGTAGAAACTAGGTTTTTGATCTAGTGTCCAGTACTAATTTTTTTTTTTTTTTTTTTCAACAAATTTGTAGTCCGTAGATCACTGAAAGGTAAAAAGATTTCTGACCTATTTACGTGTGGATCATGCCAAAGTGGAAATTAGGGCTATGACAGCAAAGAATCACGTGGCAATGTTAGATGTTTTATTAAAATGCATAACGTATATTATATACTAATGAATATATATATTTATTTGTTTCCAAAACTTTTAGCTTATCAGAATCATCTGAGAACCGCAGGATCCAACCGACCAGTACTTAGATCTATATGGAATCATTATTGCCAGAAGAAGTGAGAGCAGAATTATAAATCTAGTAAGACAGTGCATTGATAAAAAAAAAAAAAACTAAGATAATTGAATTTGACATTGTATTGGTGGTATTGTTTTATTTGTAAATTATTAGAACAATTTATAAAATAATGAGAAGTGTACAAAGTGACTTTATCCAAATATCTGTAATATTAAATGTTATGAATGATGGTAAACAAACTCTTGGAATAATGTTCTACAAGATTTTTACGACTTACTTGTTGAAGCCAAAAAAATATGCATCAGTATATTAGTACTATTAAGCAAGAATAATAATAAAAAAAGTATTGAAAAATTGTAATGTATTTTGAAATATAATACTTGATAAATAAATGTTTGAGTATTTACTTACTGCATTATTTACTGGTTCCCTGCTGTTTCACGTAAAAAAAAAAAAATGTTTCTAAAAACCATTACGACTTGAAATTAAAAATCAAATTATGAATTTCTTAATTAATTCGTACGGAATTCAACAAAATTTAAAAAACATTTTTCAGAGATTTCATGAAAACTTTCGTTCACAAAAACGTAATAAACAAATTTTAACGAACGTTAATTTTATAGAATCTCCCTCGTGAAGTATTTGAAAAATAACAACAACAGCCCAACAGATTTTCTGGACTCAACTATCGGCATGAAGACAAAGCCAAGATTTTCCCAACAGGTACAGCGATGCTCTTGCCAATGTATCTAATCCTACCAACTGCTGTTCAAAATGAAAAACCGCACGTGTGATCTCTGCCACTAAAGTGAGGTCTGGCTAGTGGCCAAAATCGTGTTTGCACTTGCCGAATAAGCTGCCCTCTCGGCATGACAATAGCTTTTTTCAAAACTCTGCGTTACAGCCACTTTCCAATTCCTGGTACAGGATCGCACTGCAACGGTGATCACGAAGCTTTGTCGCAGTGCGGAAAAATCAGGCATTGTCGAGTTTGTCGAACTACTCGGTGAAATTATTAATTAGTCTTTGTCTTTATGCTTTTCCGCTACGCTGACAGTGACGTGTACATTGCTTTAAAATTGCATTAATTAAACAGCTACAGGATGAACAATACCGTTTATTACAAAAAATATTTACACATGGCAGGGTTTTTCGTTAGCTTGAATAATGCGTGATTCGTTCGAGCGTAACGTGCAACAATTGGAAAAAAACCAGTCCAGATGTCTCTGAACGAATTTTATCGGAAACGTTCGCCGTTGTCGTATCCGAGCTGGAAGAAGTCCTTTAGTACGACGTTGAATGAAACGCTGACGAATCCTTGAACGCTCATTCTCGTGACTGAAAATGATAAAATAGAATATAACAAAAAAAAATGATAATAATAATAAAAAATAAATGCTCAAGTAACTTTGAAAGATTTAATGATGGCGTAGTTGAAATATTTTTCTCCAAGGAAAATCTTTTCAGTCCATCCAAAAAATAACGTTGAAAGGAAATCGAAGATGTAAGCTTCTTATTAATTATTAAACGTTGCTTTTACGAGGAAAAACGTCATGCCCGAACAATCCCCAAAGCTGCTTTACGTTTAACCGACTTTTTTCGAGGCTTTTTCAAAATAAAAATGAAATAAACGTCTACGCAAACAAATATGCGAAAAAAATGTTAAATAATAAAAGAAAAAAAANAAACCGAGGGCTCGGAGAAAAACTTGGTCTGAATGTTAATATTGAAATTCGAATATTGAAAATGAAAAAAAAAATACGTATACACTCACGCTCTCTACCATCGCCAGCGGCGAGTATACCAACGTCGACTAGCTCGGGCCTGCGTCCACTGAACCATCCAGCAAACTGTTGCACCAGTGAGCCCGACTCGGGTGCGTAAACCGCTATTCTGTTCATCCGTGAAATCCAGCACCGAAAGAGTATGGAAATAAAAAAAATGGTAACAGAGATTGAATGCATGAGAACTTATGAATGGATTCTATGATATGTTTCTAGCAAAAAATAGAGACGAGAAAAAGCATTCGCGCGAAATTGAATGGATGTAAAGGGTTAGGCTTTACAGAGTATACATAAGTCTTCGTGCACACAAGGGAACTGATTTATTAGCTTGAAAGCCCCTTCAAGGACTGCTCCGGCGCATTGTTTGCTTTTTTCTCGCGCTCGAGAAAGTTTTTACCCCTTTTTTCCAAGCGAAATGTAAAAAAGGGATCTCACAATCGGGTGGGTTGGCCATACGTGTGTAGGTGTGCTATTGATTTTACTTAAATGAATGTCGTCCGGACAGATCCGTGGGTGTGCTACATCAGAGAGCAGAGGTATAGATGGGAGGAGAGGGACAATGGGGAGTCCTGTGTCTACAATCCTGTCGATTTAATACAGATTTGTTCTTCCAATGATTGTGGATGTTTGCCGATTCCCAGTTCATTCATTGCGATTGAAAATCAAATGCAATCTTTTTCCCGTGAGATTTTAATTGCGCTCGATAAATCGCTCTATCGGTCGGTCGGATATTTGTTAAATGCGCCCGATACAACTGGTATGCTGTGCATGTAGGGAGATCTAATAAAATAAAGTAGCATTGTAGTGGATTCTGCGCAATAAAAAGAAAAAAAAAAAAAAAAAAAAAAAAAACAATATTAAGAAAGTAATGAGTATTTCAACTCAATTATTTGCCTGGTGAGAGAATCAAAGTGACACTGCACAATCAAAGAATGTACACAAGCATGTGTGTATGTTCTTTGGACACAATGGACACTTTGACAAAGTGAGCGTTCGAGAGAAAATGCCGCAGTCATAAATAGGGCGCGAACGATGAAAGCAAACAGTATAGGTATAACGTAATGACCGACCGTATCAAGTTAAGACGTAGGATGATGAAAAAAAAAGAGGCTACGACCATTTTTGCTTGTTTCTCGGCTTACTGTCTAGCCTCCCCCTAATACTGATGTTAAATCATTAGACAAAATGCTGGGAACTTGCCACGCGTATGCGATGTATTGTGACACACGTATCGCTTAATCAAGCCCGGTTAGGTGCGAAGATTAATTAGGTATGTATAACGAAGCAGTGGATAATTAAATTAGCAAATATTGAGGGGATTCCCCTGCTGATGAAGGTATATTAATACATTTGAAAAGTTTCTTTGTGCAATCAAACTCTGGTATTTGGATCACTTATTCGATCATGCAAAAGCTGACTTTTCCACAGTTTCAACTTTTTGTCTCTACAATGAGAAAATTACGATGGAATTTTTTTTTGGAAACGAGCTACTTACGTTGTCATTTCTCGTTTGAGCAGGAATAAATTTCTAAACGATTATCGATGCGCATTATAATCCAGGAGTAAAAATCACTTGTTATCTTGGTATTTAACAATAACTAAATTAAAGTAACATTCTAAACTCGTTTAAATACGTAAAGATACATTTTTAACCAAGAGTGTTAATTGATCCAACAATATATCATTTGAAATGCACCTCTCACTACGAAATTTTCATAATCACTTAAAAAACTTTCTCTGTACTTAAAATCTTCCTCTGTTACTGACCATTTGTTGCTAGCCAAAAATATACCAATAAAAAAGAAACGCACAGACAGATCTTTGTTTTCTCTTGCAAATTCTGAGGGTAAGATAATCTTAAAAAATGAGACGCTGCGATTATGGTTCTCCGAGCCCATAGTAAACAGTCGTATCTCAAGCACGTGGTTGATTTGCTTCTACTAATTTTTCTAAAAGGGAGGTGCCCTGATTTATGCTTGCCCCTAGCGTAATACTATTTGTAGGAGAAAAATAAAACATTATTATAGATGTTCACGTGTTGCTAGTCTTGAATCATTGGCCACCCTCGATGCGAATACCGTAGAATTTACGTGGCTGGACAATAACAAAAATAAAATTTGATAAAAAACATTACCAAAGTAAGCTAAAAGTGACGAGCGTGCACTAAATATAATGTAAATAAAAAATAAAAAGCACACTTTGAATTCCGATTTTCTCATTAACTGCCGTGTACTATAAGGTGGAACGTAAAACGATTTCCGTCAATCTGTCACGACCAACAACGAAATATTAATATAATCATCGAAGGTCACGGAGAATGGGATTCTACAGCAACAGCAATTACTGCTAGCAAAATTTGCTACTGGCAGATTAATGAAGCTCAAGTCAACGATAATTGCAGATTTTATTTCTTAAAAAAAAAAAAAAAAAAATTTATGACGGAAGGAAAGTTAAAAAAGTGTAAAGGACCTTTCTTTTTTACATTTCTATGGCACTTCCAAGTACCTACGTACCATTAGCGTTCAAAATACCTTTTTATCTACATTGTATTTTTATACGTTGTTGAGAATTTATTTGAATTTGGAGTAATATTTGTAAGATGGTCACATTCGCACCACGGAAGTACATGAAAATAAAAAAAGCAACAGCTTACCGTTTTTCGTGCCTGCCCGTAATTAATGGGAGTCTGCAAACACCGTACCCCTGGACGACGTCGTGTCCGAAAGTATCCAGTCCGTAAATCGAAAGCAGCAATTGTGGCCCTGCAATCAAAGCGCTGCTAATACTCTAGATATATTACTCGTTTTTTTTTTTTTCTTTTTTTTTTGTACACACAAAAATTGTTGATGATTTTTTTTTGTTCATTTTTTTTCGTGGTCACGCTTGTCATTAACTGATTGCCCCACGGCCAAGCCGACTCGCACTGATGGCTAACGATAATTTTCACGCCACACTTAAAAACTCGTGGCTGGCCACTAATCGGAGTAAAAGGTTCTGGCTTTCACAAGTCAGCCTCATCTTGCATTACTATTACTATGTGGCTTATTTTTAAGACATTACGCTGATATAAGAGTGATTATGTATTTTTTATGTATTTTTTTCCTTATTATTACAAGGTGATGGACAACTAGCACCTACCCCATAAGATAAAAAGTGACCAATTGAAGAAAAAAAAAGTATAAAATTGGGGGAGCTTTAATTCTTGAAATACAAAGAAGCTAGAGTGTGATTAATAACTGATTATTTTTTTACAAAAGTCGGATCTGTAGTTTAATTGCGACAAAAAAATTTCTGATTCTTAACAAATATTTTTTGTGGTAGAATAATAAATTTAAAACCAATAAAGCATAAGCCAAGCCGATTTTATCGTAAGCTAGATAAAAAATGCATGCAAGCTGAAAACCACTGAAAAATGTTTGGCTTTTCTAATAATTAGAGAATATTTTTACATGTACTAAACTTGAGGAAAAAAAAATGAAACAATGAAAAAAAAGACACAATTACTCACAGCCGAATGGACTTGTACTTTTAAATGCCACGTCAAGCGGGAAATTCCAGACTGCTAGTCGGCGGGCATCCCCGCTGCATTTGCTCATTTGTGTGAGACCTTCCTCGATGCCCTTTAAATAATTAAGTGGCTTTTACTACTTTTGTGTGGTGCATTTGTATAATACGCGGATTCGTAAATGCTGGAAAGTTGCCCTCATAAATTTCACTAATGGAAATGTCTAGGAAATTGACAAACTTTCCGCGGTTGAACTGCAACAAGTTCTTTGAAACTCGCAATTGAAACACTGATTGTATTAAGTATTTCTACTAATTTTGTATTGAATAAAGTAATAATACATTTAAATCACATTTATTTTTCTTAATGTTCAAACAACACTAAATGAAGTTTTTTTTTTTTATTCATGGTATACAATGTAAAAGATGAACCTTAATTCAATTAAACGTTAAATTCAATTTTCAATTCTGTTTTTTGGTCTAAAGTTCGGCTCAATTAAATTTTCCGCGTTTTGTTAACGATGCCAGGGTGCCTCAGTTGTTTGTGCTAATCAATATTCGTTAGAACCCACGTCATTAGGGTATAATAGTAACAAAAGAAAGTTCATATTTCAAAAAGACAAAAGAGCGTAACTATACGCGGAAGATATTTTTTGGGCCGAGCTCATTCGCCCAAGTAAACAATGCACGAACATAGTACATTCGCCAAATTGAAATTATTCTTAATTACGAGGAAAAAGGGGAAAAATATATGTATACACGCGTTAGTGCACACAATAGCTGAGTTAGTGGGTGGCACCGGTGTCGAAAAGTAAAAATACAAAAAAAAAAAAAAAAAAAAATAAAAATGAAAAAATTTCCAAAAAAAAAAAAAAAAAAAAAAAAAAAAAAAAAATTCAAATGTAAAAAAAGAGAAGAGCGGAGAATAGAAAAGAAAGAAGGCATCGAAAAAGAAAAGAAACGCAAGAGGACAAAGGAAAGCCCGCAAAAACAATGACGAGGACCAAGATACCACCCCCCTCTCCCCTCCCTCATCACGATTTTCACGTGTGCACGTAATAAGCAGACACTTGCACACACACACAAAAAAAAAAGAAAAGAAAACGTCACACAAAGTCGTTGGATACAGCTGCAATTATAAATACACATGGTAAAAAACCAGGTAGATTTGTCTTTAATCTCACCGCGAGTACACTCCACTCTGGGCCAAACTGATATGCGTATTTGCAGTAGGCGTTGCCGACCTCGTAAAAATCCGCGGACTCGATCGAGCCGGTCAAGCTGAGGTAAAACTCCCCCTCGGTGCTGTCTACTCCGCCCCCAGACATATCCGGACGACCAGGACGAAATGCCTGATGATGTTACTTCAGGAGACGAGGAGTTCTAGTTTACTTTGGAAACGAGTGTCATAAGTTAGGCGTCGTCATGTGTTTGGGTGCGATGCATCGTCATGACAACCTGGCCTTTCAAGTGTTGTTTTTTTTTTACGGTTTCATGACTGAAATTAGGTAAGTAACTTATTTAATTTGTTTTATTAATTTTTATTTTGTCAGAGTTTCAGAATTTTATTTATGAAAATTGTGATAATGGTACTATAAAAATTTAGTTTATTAAATACATGGATGTTTAAAAGAAAAATTTTTTTTATGGGATAAAGTATGTTATACAACCAATTATTTAATTAGCAAAAAGTTTTATATGTTGACTACATTTTTTAATCGTGATTCATCGTTAGACATTATTATAAACTATTTTCCTCGTAACAATATTAAAACTCGATTAAAACTGCTGAAAATTTTTAGAATATTTGAATCTGCATTATTTAATTAGTTATTACATTTTTCAACACTTCATTACTGTATTATTTTAATCGTTAATGAAATTTAGATAAAAAAAAAGATAAAGCAAAAAAGTTTATTCTTTTTGAATCACTGTAATACCAACTGTGAGTAACTTAAATTAAACAGAAAAATATTTGTCCTCATTTTATGAGTAGCTATTTGTAACTATTTTTCACAATAGATGAAATTTCTAGGACTTTTGAGTTTACAAATCCCAATACTGATGGACGGTTATTCTTTTAAATGTCAAATCCAGAATTCAGTTAGGTATTTTCGAATATTTGACAATAAGTTACCATAAAATTTCTACACGTAATGTGAGTTATCTTTTTATAAATATATACAAATACAATCAAAAGTGATACAAATAGAATAAAAAATAGTTGATTTTTTTACTCTGAAAAAATATAAATTATGCCCAAAACTGTATTTGATTTAAATTGAGACAAAATAAAATTGCACATAATTTTGGAATATCCCTTTCATTAATTACACTTTGTCCCATATGTATCGTATGTGTATTCGGTTAGCAAAACAAAAAAATGAACAAAGTGGTGTCCTCCTTTTGTAATGTGTTATGCTTTTTGAATAGTATGAAAGTGAGTACAAAGGAAGCCACAATAAGGCGAAGCACGTTCAACATAACTAAGTTTAGTCAAAAAAGGAATTTTATGTTCCTCTTACCCACCGAAAAGATACTCCCTGATCTCCTAAAAAAAGTTATGCGTCACTGCATTTTTTAAAACGCCATTTGATTGGCCGTCGATGTTTGACCTCATTGGAAAGTTTATACATCTTGCCTTTTGCCACATATAGGTATACTACGGAATTCTATTATCGTGGTTACCGATTACCTACATTTCATAAGAAAGCCAATTAATATACTTATATTATTGTTTCTTTGTTATCGACAACGAAAAAAAAAACGCTGTCACGATATAGTAACTGCATCTCCGATCGCGTGGTGGCAATTGATACAATAATTCGTGAATATCATCGTTTATTTAGTTCCCGCAAGTGGCGAGAAAAGTGTTTGGTTAGTATAAATAGAAGAATTTTTTAGCTACCGATAGAAATGTGTGCACACTGGCTCGCCTATGACGTAAGTCTAGGATCACCCACGTGGACGGAGTCGGTTTGAATGGTTTTCTAACATGAGTTGAAAAACGTGTAGTAGCCCACCGACCCTACCAGAGGTAAGTTGAGGTAAGTTGAACGTGGGTGACTTGCTGGTGTGTCATATTTTTTGTTTTTATTTTTGCAATCATACTAAATATTTATTTCTTATTGCAAAAAGAACTGTCAGTAACGAAGAATGTGCGAAACGCGTTTAACTTTACTATAGTTACTTTTGATATTTATTAAAAAAAATTTTCATACAGACTTCAAAAGTTATTGGTGGTCAAACTAAAATAAAATTAGAAATACAATAGGGGATGAAATTTCTTGTAATTACAACTTGAAGATGTAACGAGTCATTAAATTTTATTCAATCAAAAACTATAAATTTAATGAGTCAAAAACGTATTAATGCATGTACCGAATATAATAAAATATTTACAATATTGCATTATTGATTTTAGGTAGCAGATGACAATAAAATAGATGGGTACCAGGAGACATTGAATCAAGGCCACTAATATTAAAAAAACGAAAAAAACAATGGTTTATCCTTTTTTTAAATTTTTATTAATTTGTAATAATCGCAAGTATTGACGATGATTCGATCGTTCGATTGCAATGAGTTATTTGCGCGCTCGCGCGCTCGCACGCAACTTGACAAAGCATGTGCCACCCTTTGGTACAACTATACAATAGATATTCGTATACGTAGTTGTAAATGTACGTACGTATATATATAGGAAACAAAATAAAAAGTAAATCGCAAAATAAAGATATAATAAATAGAATAAAGGTAAGCATATTACATAATTATAAGCAATGCACAGGCTCTAGGGGAGATACCTGCGCGATAGATCGAAATTCGTTTACAAGTTTATGTTTACTATGGTAAAATATGTACATGATTCTCTAAGTGCTCGAGAAAGCGCGTAATGGCGCAACGATGATGGACGATCTCGGTCCGGGGCGTACACAGTTTTTCCAAGATGTTGAAACCGAAGCACGATCGTCGCAAATCGTTCGCGATACGAGCTTTCTTCTCTGTAGGCATTTGATTTTTACATTTTTTTCTTAAAATAAAGCGCTAAAAAAACCTATATATTTTTCGACATGTCACATACGCAGCACTTGTCTATTGGATAATTCAACGCGAGTTGTACCTTTTTTTTTTTCTTCTCAAAGATCACTCGTTCTTATGGCATCTTTGTCGTGTTTGTTATATGATTTTTTTTTTTTTTTTTTTTTTTCTTGTTATTTATCGTTATTATTCATTATGTTTAAGTTTTAGCACTTTAAACGCGATCTACGATTATCGTTCGATCATCATCCTAAAACAATACAGATCTCAAAATTTAATCCTGATGCATCTGTAATAAACGGGTTACGAAAGTACCTGTCAAGGGGTACAATGGAGCCGATTTTTTTTAAAAATCCAGCTTCACAATACTAATGTATCATACAAAGATTCAGCAATAGATTTCTTTAAAAGCCGTAACGTAAATTTTTTCGCGTTGCATAATCACGGGGCCTAAAAATAATAACGATTGCATCGCCGACGCGACCACATTCGTATCTTCCGCTCTCCCGTTTGGAAATCGGTAACATCGAGCAACAAAGATTTCAAAGCCAAGGGAGATTGGAAGGAACAGTTGTGAAGCCGCTATTTATCGGGAGTCCTAATTCAATACCATATATATATATACGCATATAGAACCAGCCTAAGTGTAACTAGTTGTAGAAACGTTTTTTCGTCACATTTGCCGTCGGATGGGGAGGTCGGAGGGAGGCTCGGATTAGGTGGTTGGCTGCTCACTTGCCGGCGGCGATCTCCTTCATGCGGTTGAGGGCCGAGCCTGCTTTGAACCACGTGATTTGCTGGTCGTTCAGAGTGTGGTTCAGCTCTATGGTCTCCGTCTTGCCGTTCTTGTGTTTGATCTCGCACTTCACGGGCTGCCGGAAAACAAGAGACAAAAATTACATCGACCGAACGAATCGCATAGTAAGCCAGGGACAAAGGACAATCCTCGTCAATTGGAGGATTCGCGTATACAGAGATTTACTTTTGCGTCTCTTATTTGATAAATCTCCAGTGACAGATGGATTGTTGATTTAATTTAACGAAATCAGCAGAGGCCCCCCTTATTGACTTTTAATTTTCTACATTGTTGGGAAGCCCCCCACTTCAAAAATTCCAAGACAGTGAACAAGACTACTCATGGATCTTTTGATTGTCCAATAATGGAAAAAAAGGTCATACCTTTCCGGGCGCAAGGTCCTTCAAGCCGAGCAGGCTGATCTTGTCGGTGGGCTCGATCTTGTCGTAGTCGGCCGCGTTGGCGAACGTGAGGGGCAGCATGCCCTGCTTCTTGAGGTTGGTCTCGTGAATGCGAGCAAAGCTCTTGACGATGATGGCACGGCCGCCCAGGTGGCGGGGCTCGAGCGCGGCGTGCTCCCGGGACGAGCCCTCGCCGTAGTTCTCGTCACCGATGGTGCACCACCTGACCCCGTTCTTCTTGTAGTGGCGGGCCACGTCGGGCACGCCGCCCCAGTCACCCGTCAACTGGTTCTTGATCTTGTTCATCTCGCCGTTCTCGGCGTTCGTTGCGCTGATGGAAACGATTCGTAAATCACGTCCGTACAGGACAATTCTGGCGACTCTGGTTGTGGATACTCACCTGATGAACATGTTGTTCGAGATGTTGTCCAAGTGGCCCCGAAACTTCAGCCAGGGCCCGGCCGCGGAAATGTGGTCGGTGGTGCACTTGCCCTTGACCTTGATCAAAATGGTCAAGTCGGTGAGGTCCTTGCCGTCCCACTTGTCGAACGGCTCCAGCAGCTGTAGGCGCTGGGATTTGGGGTCGACGTCGACCTTGACCTTGCTGCCATCGGCGGGTGGGGCGTCGTACGTGTCCGCGCCAGGATCGAAGCCCTTACTCGGCAGCTCGTTCCCTGCAACAGTTCAACGTCAGGGTGGATTGCCATGTCGAGTCTACGCTGTTGGGTTTGCTTACCGTATGGACAGTCCAGGAGGAATTCCTTTCCGTCGGCGCCCTTGAGTTTGTCCTTGATGGGATTGAAGTCGAGGCGTCCGGCTATCGAGAGGGCAGTCACGAGCTCGGGGCTGGTGACGAAAGCGTGGGTCGCAGGGTTGGCGTCGTTGCGACCGGTAAAGTTACGGTTGTACGAGGTGACTATGGTGTTTTTGTCACCCTTTTTGATGTCCTGGCGGTCCCACTGGCCGATGCAGGGCCCGCACGCGTTGGCGAGGACTACACCGCCAAACTCGCGGAGGGTCTGAGCCTACGATCAAGATTCTCATTAGGACTATTGTTGCATACACATTGACTGATTGCACTTTTTTTGTTGTATGGCTACGCGTCGTATCGCTTGCAACGTTTGTTTTAGCGAAGCCAGTTGACAATACTTTTTAAAATTACACCCTCAGCCACTGCGACAGGGTCTTCGCACTCTTGAAGTCTCGATAAAAATTCCATAGTTTTTTCGAGATTTTTTCAGTCTTTGAATGACTTTACGCAACATTTGCAGTCTTTGAAAATCTTTGAATGACTTCTGGAGTGCACAGACATTTAAGCCACTGTATGCACCCACTCAAAAATGTTTAATAAAAGGAACTGTTGGGCGATCCTTTGAAATGTAATGTACTTGGCAAGATTGTCGTAAAAATTGCCTAAATTACGCGGAACATGTAGATTATGATTCTCTAATGTACTTGGCAAACACGTATGCTCCTTGTATACAACGTAAGTGATCGAAAAAGAAAAAAAATAAAGCACACGTTACTACCCATGTTGTAATCTGGCTTTTGGCACGAGCGATTATTTAACAGTCGCATAACAATCGCGTCTATGTATAGAACGTGCGTATACATGTATAATATACAGTGCACTTACAATACCGTCGCGCTCGATGGTGGCGCGAATCTGTTCCGAGCCAGGGGTGACGTTGAACGCAGATTTGGACTTCAAGCCGTGCTTGAGCGCCTGCTTGGCTATGTTGGCGCACCTGCCCATGTCCTCGTACGAGCTGTTGGTGCAGGAACCGATCAAGCCGACCTTCACCTCGTTCGGCCAGCCGTTCTTTTTCGCTATTTGACCTACAAAAAACAATAAAGTCAACCAATTTAAATACCCACCACTTTTACAGTTGGTCCCAACGAAAAAGAACCACGTCCACCACTGCACTCACCCAACTGGGAGATGGGGTTCGCGAGGTCGGGCGTGAAGGGCCCATTGACGTGGGGCTCGAGCGTGGACAGGTCGATCTCGACGATCTGATCGTACTTGGCATTGCTGTCGGCCGTCAGGAGTGCCGACTTGTACTGATCTGCGGCAGCCGCGATGTCATCGCGCTTGGTCGACTTGAGGTAGTCCTTCATGCGGTCGTTGTAGGGGAAGACCGAGGTGGTGGCGCCTATTTCGGCGCCCATGTTGCAGATGGTGGCCATGCCGGTGCAGCTGATGCTGTCAACGCCTGACCCGAAGTACTCGACGATGGCTCCGGTGCCGCCCTTTACGGTCAGGATACCGGCGAGTTTCAGGATGATGTCCTTCGGGCTCGTCCAGCCCGACAGTTTGCCCGTGAGCTTGACGCCGATCACCTACGACCATTTTACACGTACAAAGGCTGCCCTATTAGAATATTCCTTGGCCTACCTTGGGGCACTTCAGTTCCCACGGGATGTTGGCCATGACGTCGACGGCATCGGCACCGCCCACACCGATGCACAAGCCACCAAGGCCACCGCCGTTGGGCGTGTGGGAGTCCGTGCCGATCATGAGGAGGCCGGGGAAAGCATAGTTCTCGAGGATGATCTGGTGGATAATTCCAGAGCCCGGGTTCCAGAATCCAACCCCATACTTGGCGCCGGCGGTTTTCAAGAAGTTGTATACCTCCTTGTTGATGTCCTTGGCGCGCTTGAGGTCCTTCTCGCCCCCGATCTGGGCCTCGATCAAGTGATCGCAGTGGATGGTCGAGGGAACCGCCACCTTTGGTAGTCCTGTGTGGGAAAAGTCGGTGGGTCAAGGAAGCTGTTCGAATGATTGGGATCGCGGTTAAAATCATGCGTCGGTTACCAGAGCTGATGAATTGGAGCATGGCCATTTGGGCCGTGGCGTCCTGCATAGCGACGCGGTCGGGGCGTAGCCGCAAGTAGCTCGTGCCGCGGATGACTTCTTGGTTTTGGGGATCATCTATGTGGGAGTACAAAACTTTTTCCGAGAGGGTCAAGGGACGGTCTAGCCTGAAAGCGGTTAATACGTGTTATTGCAAATGTTTGACGTGTATTTTCGAGCGAAAATCATCTCATTATTATAATTTTTTGTAAAGAAAAATTTTAAAAATAACAATTAATAGTAACAAATAATAAGATCTAGATTTTAAACTATAGTAATGTTTGTCTTCCTAATTTTATATTTTACCATTGTTTTTCTGTTTTATGTTAAAATTGAATCGAAAAATTTAGTTTAATTCCCTGATTAAATCATGGCAACAAATCATTTTTACAAATAATTAGTGATAATTTGTAGAAGTTTTTGTCAGTTACTCAAAAATGTTTATATGATAAATAATACACATTATAAATTTATAATTTATAATAGTTACAATTGGTTCTTAGTTTTTTTTTTGTACCTTCCAATATGTCAGTTATAACGAAAATTAATAAAAAAAATCTCAAATATCGACCTCATCATATCTTATTATTTATTTTTTACTATCTTATAATTATTCACTATGTGATTTTCGCTTGAAGACATGCATTTATTAAAAGTTGAAAGAGATAAAATTTATTTATTTCCAATTCATCCCTAAAATTGGAATTTTAGGGATTCATATTGTTGGTAATTACCTTTTCTTTACGACTTTAAGTCTGTCTTCGAGTTTGTCGTAAGGTAAGTGAGCATTGGAGTCAAATTTGGACATAGCCACCTTTGCGGCCGCAAAGGTGAGTGGACTCGTGTTGAAGCATCTTTGCTGGATTTCAGCCGCAAAGACGGCAACTTTCTGGAAAACACAAGTTTTTGATAGTTAGCTGAATAAAATGATAAATTTAATTTTCTGATAGATTACATTTTCATCTATTTGACAAGCACTCTTAATAACACGTAGCATTGTTAAAATGCTAAGAAAAAATATTATTCTTACAAATTTTAACGTTGTTAAATGATATCGTAATAACGTTGGATGAACGTTTGTAATAATGTTCGAAAATGCCTGCCGATTTTTTTAACTAAAAATAACGTCTGGACTACTTTTTGTTGTAATTTGTGACTAATAGTCATTACCATGTAGATGACAGTATTTAAAGTGAAGGGTCAAGCTAATTCATAGCAGTACAATATTACTCAAATAAATAGAATAAAATTTAGTTATGATTAAAAATCATGATATCATAATTATCTTAGCATTACATTGTAGGTGCTGTCATTCAAATAGTAACATCTATGGACTAACGTGTTCTCGGAAAAGTGTTATCGTGTTATTTTCTAACTTGATACTCCCGATAGCGCGAATCAAAGTTAAGAATTGAATTGCGATACTACTCGTGTTAGGAATAAAGATTTATAATTAAATCAACTATGTATCTTAGTTCTATAGTAAGCATAATTTTTGTCATTTGTATTATTTTGTAACTGATATTTTATAATAATTTGATTTTTTTTAAGTATAGATAAATCAAAAGCCAGTTGAAAAAATCTACAAGATACTTTCAATTTCGATTAATTTATTATAAAAGTTGACTTCACCCTATCGTAAAAATCATGTGAACAGAGCTTAAAGCTAGTTTTTTGAAAAATTTCAAAAAACAAGAAAAACTTGCGCGTCCGCGCCAGAACGCAAGCAGTACCCAGTGCGCATGAATGTCGACTAAAGCAACGAAAAGAGGAAGAAGAAGAAGAAACATAACCTTGTGCTTGATTGTGTCTCTTTCGCACGCACTTGATTATGTAACTTTTGCACGAGATTTTCCAAACGAAAAAAAATGTTATCTCCTGTCATAAACTCGGGGCCGTTATCAATTTACTTTATCTTTTATGGCCCAAAAAAATTCCAAAACTTGTGTGATAAAATTCCCGATGATAAAGACAGTAAGAATAGAATTTTAAACGTATGCTCCAATTACATTTTTCAACTTTTACAAAGTGTCAACTTTTTACTGCGGTTTTTATAAAATATGTTACACAAGAATAATAAGTTACGCGTGCATCTATAAACGAACATAAATTCTATATTTAAAGTCCCCCAATTAAAGTCTTTCAAAAAAATTCGCACAAGCGTAAGGTCTTATTTGAAAAAAAAAAAAAAAAACTCAAAAGTTGAAGCATCCCGTGATGCCAAATCATTCAGTGCACCCAATAACGTGACATGTAGGAGATGAGAAAACAGGTGATCTTACGTAAAAAGAAAAAAAAAGAAACTGATGTTTTGACACTATTTGGTTGACCAATGAGTGCGTGACATGACGACTCGTCACGTCAGTGTGGGCGACGAACGACGGACGACAAAAATAATTCATCCCCAAAAAAAATCCTTTTTGACCTTTGCACAACAGCGACAGTGAGTAGAGTCTTTGACACACATGTGCAGTATTTGATCGAAAGCTCTACTTAGTTCCCGAACGAGAAAACGAAAAAAAAAAAAAAAAATAAAAAAACAAGAACAGGTCAACGCGCGAAGGGATGAAAACAGGGTCACAAGGGGATGAATAGTCGAAAGGAGGGCAGAGGAGGGTGGGGGAGGGGTGGAGAAGTGGCGTTGGCCTACCTGCGCCTGCAGAATCCTCGCGCCGTAAGACATCCTCGCTGTGCAACGTGATCTCGTTGACTCTCAATCGGCTGTCAATAATCGTCAGAGGTAACTCGGGGGGTGGTTGTATTGTAACGAAGGTAAGGGACGACCGGGACTCGAAAGGCCGGCCACTCCGCGCTCTTGCTGTTATTGTCGATTTAGGTAAGCGGAGCGAAAAATAATAATGGCACCGCTCCCGTATATACTCTATTAGAGCGCTCCCGTGGCAGTCCTTCTCGAACCGGCCACCAGAGAACTGGCTCACGACTCTTGGCTTCGACTTCGACCCGAGCTCGGATTCGGCAATCGTTTTGCCTTGCGCCTCTCACGTATATTCACACATATCTCTTTGCGCTCTTTATAGTTGCCAGACTGTAGGTGAGAAGGAACGCCTTTGTGTCGAGCTACAAGCACGAGCATTCTCTTTTGCCGATTTACGATGTGGAACGATACTGAGTGTAGCAAACGTTGGTAATACTGTTTTCACGCTTGCTAGCGGTCGACGTATCGATTTTCTACTCTTCGGTCTCTTCAAACTTCTAGTTTTTCCCAACACTGATCGCTACCTTCTTTCAATACAATAACGAATTTTCAAGCTTTAAGTAAAATAAAATACAACTAGTGTGTAATTCAGCAGAACCATCAACATTTGTCAAACAATATGAACATCCGGTACGGAAAATAAGAAGTACAGGTGTTCTTCTGAATATATTTATTATTTGGATGTGAATCAAAAAACTATAGATAAGTTTAAATTCAAACCAGTCAACAAACACTACTTCATAAAACCTCTTCTAAGATCGAAAAATGTTCTAGATTCAAAATGTTGCCCTGTACACTGTACAGTTTCTTGTACGTGCACACCATGAAAATCGCAAAGTAATCGAGGGGATTAACAGTCAGCAACTAAATCCCATTTACTTCGATTGGACTCAGCCGACTCCCCAATTTGTCTCGCAATCGTCTCCACATGCAACTCAATTTAGATTGTATCGAATGTCCATTTGAACCAAATGTGAACTTGTACTTTTTGACACCTTTATCAACGCATGTGTACCAGCTACTTTCAACACTCGACGGCCTTGGAAATGTGAAATTTAGATCACGTCTTTTCAGCGAATATATATTTTTTTTGCCCCGTAAACCCTTGCCACCTACTCTGATAAATGATTCATCGATTTTCGAACTGAACCCCTCGCTGTCTCTTCACCATTGTGGCCATTTAATCGAATCCACGCGCATTCCCCCGAAACCCGAAAACATTCACTCGTCACACACCCCCCAAATAAAAAATAAAAAATAAAATAAACGTCCTACATCAACTCTCGTTGCGCAATCCTTTTTTCATCAGCCTCGAGCATTTCTCTCTCCCTCTCTCAAAAGAGTCAAGCAAAAAAAAAAAGCACTTGGCTGGATTGTATTATCCACGTCTCGTAGCGAATTCTCTTGAGATCCCAGCCTCTTATTTCACCACGAGAGCCGAACAGAAATTTCTCCGGCGATACCCAGCCACTTTGCAAGTTCACAGCGAGAAAGAAAAGTCGTAGGCACGTTGCATCGTACGATGCTTCGGTCACTCAGACAAATAGTAAATCATACAAGTGCGCCTATAAACACTTTGAGCTCCAGAAGACGCGTAGGTACATATAGGTACACCTACACGAGCAGTAGCGAGATGCGCTAACAGCGAGGCCGGGGCCGCACAATACACGCATTCGTACAGCTGGTACTCGCATCGGAGAGTCTCGTTTTCCTTGAACTGAAACACCCTTAGACACGTAGACGCTCACACACATATATATATATACGCTCGTCGCGGAGGCCTAAACCGGAGCGAGTAGCCTTTGCCCGACTATTTTCGTCCTCGAGGCGATCGGTTGATTTTTCCCTCCAGGAGCAAGTTCCTCGTGCATCACAGACATATACATATATATACGTCGGACAAGCAGAGGACGTCCACTGGCGAAGGAGGAGGAGAACGTGTACGTATACGCGCGGGTGAGCCACAGCCTTGACACGAATGTTTCGCGCGTCTCCGGCTTGACTGTATAGGTACAACCCGCTCCCTCGGTACATTGTTCCTTTCGGGATGGCACGGACACGGCGGTTTAGTTGCCTTCGAGGGTCCAGCCACCACCGACACGGGCTTCCGCGCGTGCCATTGTTTCGTCGTTAGAGGGTCAGCGACGCGGAAAGCTATGTTGCTTTGGATCGCGATTTTGGCTATTTTCATTTTTTTTTTTTTTTTTTTTCATCAATCATCCACTCGACCCGTTGATGCTTTTTTTTTGTTTACCTCTTTTAAGAGATAAGGATTGGAGATTTATGATCAATGGGAATTCGCGTGCACACGGTTTTTGCGTAACTCGTGTTGTCATTACATGCGCCGAGGGTCGATTTGTGTGCCTAAATGCACGTGGGAATAAAATGGTACACACACACATGTAAGCGTTGGAGGGAAAAGGGAACAAATCTCACAGAATTTCGTGCATTACTTCGGGCTGCATCACGTGTACGTATGGCTATGCTCTAGTAAAAATAATTTTCTCAGCTTGGCTATATACAACGGCATAAGTGTATATAATATAATGTAACCGAACTGGGCGTAGGTGTGGGCGCTCAGCCAAATATAATTCGCGTGAATTGTTCCGTACGTTCGCTATGTATGTGCATACATACGATATCCTTGTCGGAGGAAAAATCGACAGTGGCAAAGTAAAAAAAAAAAAAAAATAAAATAAAAATAATAAGTAAAGGTACAAAAACCACAAGAGTATCGCACCTAAAACGTGCTCCGCTTAATGTATATGCACATGGGTCTCATTACGTAGTATGGAGTATAGTCAATGTATGCCGGATTGCGCCCTGCCATAACTTATATCACTCGTTGCGGGCTGCACGACGATGATTACACGCTCCCGTATGTTAAATAAAAATTCCACGATACTGTCGATCGTTTCAGCCATACGTGCACTTAAATTATTTTCTGTACACGTGACGTTATCTCAAGTTGATTTTTCGCTCCACACATGCACTGATCCTGCGGAGTTGAGAAGCTTTTAACGTTATCGCGTGGATGTGAGTGTGTACAAATTGAATCGATTTACAAAGAAAAGGTCATGTAGTTTCGTTGTTATTACGATGCGTCTTTGTTGCAGTACATCTAATGATCTTGTTGCAATAAACTATACTTATACATTTCAACTGTCGAATGAAGTTTACTTTCCCTCCGTTAAGTACACCTAACATACGTACAAAGTGATTTTTTTTTGGATCTAGATACGAATAAGTAAATAACTGGCAACACAATACACCTTCACTCGCACGATGAGCGATTGCACACAGGTTGACCTTGATACGTTTCTTTTTCAACTCCCAAGAATCCCGAGGTGAATCGGCTGAAAGATAATTTTTTTTTTGGGGTACGGGGAAGCCGACTCTGAAGGATTGTACCTACACTGGCAGAGTCGATCCTTGCCGCAAGCAAAGAGCTTAATTGGTTGGTGCAAGCTGGATAAAACTTGGATCGGTGGAAAAAATAATGTGGGTGGACGACATTTCGACTTTGCTTTTGTGTGATAAAACTCGATGGAAATATACTTACCATTAGTATTTAAGTCTTCGTTTTTAACTTTGATTACTAGTTTTGATGATAGCGAATAATAAGTTTTAAATATTATCATCACGAGGTGAATGACGAGTGTTTCGTCACTCTTACACTGTAGTTAGGAAAGTTTAAGTAAATCAGTCCATGCGCATTATATATATATATATATATTTTTAAATTACACTATTGAAAAACATTCAAACGTATGAATAAACTATGTTATGTGATATAGTTGTTGATAATCTTTATTAATTTTGAGTTAGATGAGCAATAAAATACGCCTAAATGATTTCTTATACAGCAAAACTGCATTGGATACGTAAAAGCTTAGTAAAGTGTCTATCACCAGTATAATTAATCAATGGGTGTATCTGCTAAGTATTTAACGTGTAGTGTGATTTCCTGTACGTGAATTATATAAAAAGAACACTTCAAACAATTGTTTAAAATGTTCTGTCTTTTCAGAACGTGTCGAAAGGAGTTATCTAAAAGAGATAACTATCGTCGCACGAGTAAGTGAAAGGACAAGTTTTGTCTTTCATGATATGAGCTCGCTTTCTGATGTTTTTAATTATTCCTCTGATTGTGAGAAAATAGTAAAATTACTGGAGCTTGTTTCACAATGACTGAAAACATTAAGTAGTGACCAAAATTCAACTTTTTATACCTTTTAGGCTAATTTAACGACTTTTAATGCATTATAGTTACCCAAAGTATATGTGCTGCAAGAGATTTGATCTTTAGAATAGTATATGCAAGAGTAGAAATGTTGATCGCGTGATATGAAATTAATCCATGCCAATAAATCGTAAAAATATAAGATTCCATCTTTTTTATTTTTCAACTTTGATGAGCAGGGGCTAGTAGATACAGGTTGATTATGTGCAAAATGAAGTTTAACGTTTTTGTGTACATGGTTATTTTTAAAAACTTTTACTTTTTAATACAACGTAGATTTTACCTATACTGTGAGCTAAGCTGTATGAGTGATTTGAGTCGACGCGTTCTTCTGATTAGTAGAAATGTTGTGTTCGTCAAAAATGTCAAGTACTGCCTCCTGTCTAATCTTAGAGGTACTACATAATTGAAATTTATCCAATGACTGGCCAGCCGGAAACCTGAGGTTGAAGCTGAAGCAATACAGCTCGCAGTTCTCCCACGCACTTCATCGCACGTTAGCTAGCACTAATTTTTCATCAATTTAGTACTTTTCATATACTGCACAGAACCATCATATAATTTGTTTATAGTACTTTTTGAAGGAAGTAAACTTTTTTGAGCAATAGAAGCACTTTGATTGATTAAAGGAAACACAATGGCAATCCATTTTTTGATTCGTGATCTCAAGATTGTGCTCTTTGTTCTCAACGCTCTTTTGATGGTCAGGATTAATTGCAGTATTTTTTGTTTTATATGTTTTTAACATTTTTGGTACCTGCACCACTCGATACAAGCTTTGAAAAGCGCTAAGCATTGTCAAGGAGTGCCCTGTATTTACAAAAATTTTAAAAATAAAAAATTTCCAGCATTCTTGTATGTTTAGATCCATAAATATGAGTAATTAAGTTTTTGAAGTAGGTAATACTCATGGTTTATAACTAATTTTAAATCCTACATCATACACCTTCTTTTGTTTTATACCTCGTTCTCTATTTTTTTTTTTTTTTNTTTTTTTTTTTTTTTTTCATTTATTAGGAACAAGTTCCTTAAAAAGCATTGAGAGCCTATTTGGCCCATACAGCTTTGCAGTGACATGATTACATTATAGTTTTACATTATATTTGCAGATTACAGTTTTGTAAAAAATTATACATGTGGACGCACGCAGGTATGTTTGGTCGGTTAATGATGATATCAACTGTACACGGCAATCCTATGTTCCTAGATTAAATTTCTTTTATCACTACTCATCTACATACCACCTGCTAATTAATACTTATGTATGTACTTGTTAGTGATTCTTTTTTTTTTTTTTGTTCTTAATCATTTTAAGCTGTTGAAGTGTGTGTGTGTAGTTTTATCATTTAGTCGCATCCTACCGTAATCATTATTTATCGATTCACTATGTATTTCACAAACTCGTGCAATCAAATGAAACTTTTTTCGCTTTAAATTCTTCGATCATCGTTTGCGTGTGAGCTTGAGGTTTGTTTAATCCTAAAGTATTAAATTCAACAGATTCGGGGGTAAAAAAATGTTTTTTTGCCGTACCTCTACTCAGCGTAACACTGTACTATTTCGTCCGTATGAGAGTAAAAAGGTTTGGTTGAATTGAAATATGACGAAATTAGACATTATAATATCTTTTTAATTGACGTAGGTGCGTTGTTTAAGTATCATACATAATCACTGAGTAGAGAAGAAAAAATGTTTGATGCTGATGAGGCAAACGAAAGACAGTTTTTCATTTAAAAAAATGTAAATTAATAACAGCATACCAGTCAACTTAAAACAAATATGGATGAAAAAAATAGTGAAAGAAAAATGTTTTTTCATTTAAAAAATTAAAATAAAAAAGATTCTACGAATCTCTTATTTTTCAGATCTCTGATGCATGGGTGTTTTATTGCAGCGAAGTGGTAGGAATTGCTTGGTCGTATATTTTTATCATAATTATCGGAAGTGCCATTTTTCTCACGGCCATTTTCAGCTGCTTCAGTGCATTCAAGGAGAACAGTTCTTTTGTTACGGCAGTAATGACATTAAATCAAATTACTTAAATCTCCATCAAACATATGCACAATAGATAATTTTAACGCCTAACTATCTTTTTTGCTTGCAGTCTATAAGCTTACAATTAACGAGCCTCACACTTGGAATTGTGGCAATAGTGATTTTTATTATTAATCGGGAAAAGTATGCCAATTTTTATACTAACTTGTTGTATCAACAAATAGAATCTTACGACAAAATACATGAGTACAGAGAGGAGATCGATTTAATTCAACAGGAAGTAAGCCAACACTACATTTTTCATTTTGTCTTGTGCTCAAGTCACAAAAAATTTTAGTGATTAAAAATTACTTGTTCGATAAATAGTTCCAATGCTGTGGATACGACGGACCTCATGACTGGTTGAAAAAATATTCGAACGTACCAGAGTCATGCTGCAAAAAGTTTGATCTTTGGTACCCCTATGAGAGACACTGCTCCTTAACTTCTGCTTATTCAGACGGATGCCAAATAACTTACGCTTATATAGGATATGTTTTTTTGTGCTGTATACTCGCTTATGCAGCAGTAATGGCTGTCATTCAGGTAAGAATTTTTTTTTATACTACAAAATCATCAACTTGATAATACACAATTTTTTTTTTTTGCAGATTGCTGCAACAGTGATTTCTTTCGCGCTAAGAATTAAGATCAAGAAAAGACAGATAGAACAAGCCACGCAAATGTCACAGGAATGCAGGATGAATTCACCCAATAGTGTTCCCATCGTTCACATGTAAAGTAGCTGTACTTTGAATTAAATGATCTGTTCGACTGGAATAAAAAAAAAATCGTAGGTTGATGTTTAAGACAGGAGCCATTCTACATGTACCATTTAACATAAGTGCAATGTATTTTACTGTGCTTTTCTAATTAAAAATCTGATTTGTTGAAAAAACTGATATTCATTGAGTAAAGTGAGAGTGGAAATTTACTGCTTGTTGGGCAGAGTAAAAAAGTATAGCTTCATGCCCTTTCATTTTATATTTTGGATGGTATACGAAAACTCATCAGAGCCATTTTTTGAAAATTACTTACCAAATGATGTTTTTCTACTACACAAATACATTACAAGGTTAATCTAAATGTACATACAGAAATTAATATCTAGTACTCATTAGAAAGTAGACAAGAAACAAGAGTACCATCAGTATATCACTTATGTGCCATTGTTTTTCGTCTTATAAGAGACGGTAGAGTCTCGGTTGATCTTAAAAAATGAGAGAACAATAATTTTACTTTACTTTAACGTCGATTCCTATAAAGTACATCAGAAAAGTCATAACAATCAAATGAAGTTGTTGAAGGATCTCAGCTCAAGTATAGTATACGCTTTTCTATTGACAGCATCCATCAGTAAAATTGTTGTCATGCCATTTGTATAACATCGACTTATACGTCACAAATATTCATAACAAAATATCCTGGAAGCACAGAGACTCAGCCCTACATTCATTTATGAACGTCGTGGTACTCCAAATGATGCCAAAGGTGATAGTCTAAGGCTTATCTCCAATAATCGAGTGTCCTGATGTTGTTGCAACCCCTCCCCCCCACCTCTTTCATCACACGTGTGCCAATGTGTGTATGCGTATAAGTACTTTTTTTTTCCTCTCCAGCTGACTGACTCTCAAACGACTTAACCCAGTTTAGAAAAACAGAAGCACACAATGTGTCGTAAAGCACCGCAGCTCAGAGCGCACGTATACGTATTGTTTATTTCTTTCGCTGTGTATTAATTGTTTGAAACAATAATAGAAAAAAAAAAAAAAAAAAAAAAATATATTCCTAGTTGGCGCGATGAATGACAGTTGAAAGACGAAAAAAGGCCAGTAATTATATCCTTTATCTTACGCGTCTCAAAGTTCATATATACGAGCTGTACTGGTGGAGGCGATATTTGTGCCAATGCGTGTGTCCGTGTACATTTTTAAAAGTCTCGCGCGTACACGCCATTGTTGTCAGAGACCATGGTCCTCGTGACCTCGGGAGTTTGGAAAATACCCTCCTCTCGTATCCTGCGATATTTCACGCTCTTGTTCGTGTACTATGGATAAATGAGACTCGGAAAATCTGATAAAGATACTTTTCGAGCGATGTACGCCGGATCCTTGACATACACGGAAATCCACCCATCTCGCAAGGACTCCCTTTTCGAGTGGGCCTCGAAAAAAAACTTGTGATAAATGTACGAAACGTAACAATACCTCCTTTCCCTCATACAAAATCCTTTAAAACATCAGGTTGCTCGATTAGTGTTTTTTTTTCTAATTTTTCTAATCTACACAGTACGCCTCGCAAGCCGTAATGTATATCTCTTCTGATTGGACGGCCATTAGGTAATACTGCCGGTCCGTGCACGACCCCTGGACACAAATCGTCATTTCTATTCCATGGCGTGTATTTTATAAGCCTCAAATTTCCGCGAACGCTGCCGATTTTAATTCAAAACTTTGGCACGTATCACCGGTGGGCGAGTTGCGGTCGTTAAAATTCATTTATAGCGACGATCAAACAAAGGGAGCCGAGGAGCGATAAATCGAAAAAAAAAAATTCACGCGTGCCCGTGTACGCGATTGTCGTGCAGTTTGTTGCGTAAAAGAACGGGTACCGCGAGCTCAATTAAAACGCAAAATGCCACAGGAGCGCGAACCGCGGGTGTACCTATCTCTGAAAAAACATTTCGCCTGGAAAGCGGAATATAATGGAATCGGACATCGCACGGTCATCAATCTCTCTCCCCAAGAGCAGGGCTGCGTAACAGGTAGAGAACAATTTCCTCCACGAGAGATCGTTAACTCTTACAGCAGCGCCTCGTTTCTTATGTACGGCTCGCGCCTGTGATCTCCGATCGGAGGCGGTGATGAGCAGAACAGAGCATCAGCCAAACATCGCCGAGGCATCAGGTGCAAGGTAACGCGGCCGTGGCGCTCACTCGGTCGTGACCTCCCCCTCGTGCCTTTCTTTGGAGTATACTTCACGACTTGCCTGTGGCTGAAACTATATCGATTTGACGTGACCGTTTTCATACGAGCTAATTGCGGGCTGGAGTGTGTTTCTCTTTCTGTTTTTGTTGTTGTTGTTGCAAGAGCTATACGGGATATCAGTGATCCGTCGATCAATCAATATTATACCCGTATCGGTGCGAATGGATCGTGATTTTTATGTTTATTTATCCCACGTTGGATGCATGAAAAAACTCGCTGTACAATGTAAGAATTATATACGCAGTGTACGTGTTGCGGAGTGTCTTTTTTTCATCACTGGAGCCTTAAGAATGTCATATACTCGTCCGCTAATCATCAGAGTTACGCGCGACGACTCCCTTTTTTTCCCTCCACATTTTCTACTAGTAGCGAGCAAATGAGAGCTAAACAGAGACTCGATAAAGACATTAAAACTCGGAGAGACGCTTCGATCGGCGGCCGATCGGGGGGGGGGGGGGAAAGTCGGGGCGCAGAGTGACATTCTAAGAGAAAAACGCCCGAGTGATTCACTCACTAGTCGGCGCGACCGACTTTGTACGCGCCTTACGGATAAGGCATTGCCGTGTACCGTTTGCTTGCTTTTTCTCCGTGTCGCATGAAATTTCATGAAGCCACCACGCGTGCCGATCCCTCGCCCTCCTCTGTTCTTTTTTTTCTTACTCGAGAATCAATATCATGTAATCTGGCCTTGTGTGGCTTTTTTTATGGCCTGGCCGGGGGTTTTTGCATGAAAAACCGATGGACAATGCGGCAGTGTTGTAAGAGCAGTGAAAAATGTCCCCGTAAGAGACGAAGATATTTAAGAAAGCTCCGACGAAGAGTTTCTTTTCCATCGGCCACTAGATCGAGGTGGAAAAAAAAAACCGAGGGATTGCGCTTCTGTTGGTTTTTTCCGCGAGTCGTAACACCACGAGTTATCGATCGACAATAAAAAGGGTGAAAACCAAATCGAGTGCACAAAATATTCACAAAACACTAGGATTTAAGCCGATCTCTTGTCCCAGGGATGGAAAAGAAAAAAAACCTACATCCCTCGAAACCTTGTAAGTTCACACCAACGGTGAGCGCGACACGTGGCGTTAATCGATGTTCCCCTCGAGCGCTTTTTTGTTCTCAGCTCTCCGTTTTCCCATAAGAGTTATTAACCATCGACGCTGGGCTTGGCGTACGGAGCTACCAGCCAATTGTATACCAGCGACGGGTAACACTCGGTGCCATAAATCAGCACTCGATAGCCAGCAGCAGCGGCGTTTAACGAAATAAAAATGATTGTTTTCGAGAAAAGCCGTCGGTCTTGTGCTCCACCTTGGGCGTTTTCACGTAGAGGAGCAAAAAGGGGCGTGCGAGCCGTTTGATCCCTGTACTGCGAGCGGCAGCAGTTTTGTCTTGGCTGGCTGTTTTTCCCTTGGCAATTAGCGGCAGTCGCGCGGTCGGCTAATCGAAAAATGGACACTTTACAGGATCGTGATTGTGTTGCGCGAAAGCAGAAAAACGAGGGGCCGCAAGAGGAGAAGGTGGAGGAGGAGGAGGGATTGTTTATGGGTGTTCCCTTTACGCACCGATTAACGAGTGATCGACCACCAACATGATTTATGGAGTCGTGCATGCCCTCGCCTCTTAACACGAGACGGGGACAATCTCCGGCCTTTTTTTTCCTTTAAAAAAAATGATTCGTACGTTTTAAGAGGTTAGCGATAATGAGGCTGGTTAGAGCGAACGTGGTAGCTGCAAAAAGTAAGAGGACCCATCAACGACGATTCGGATTGTAGACGGTTAAATTAGAGGTGAAATACGTTACGTTGAATGTTGGGTTTCAGGTTTATTATCGCTTAATTTTTTGAATGGCATTACATAGCCTTTCATATGTAAAATGGATCAGAAGCAACAATGAGGTTTCAAACACTAGTTCATCCTATGAGCATCATTAAACTCTTTTCGCTAAACTGTACCAAGTAAAACTGCAATTTAGTAACAAAGCTTTAAAACATTTCATCTTTATTTATAATTAATTTCATATGCTATGTAAATTAGAGTTGATGTATTACTTTCTTCCTCTGTGATGTGCAGTACATCTTGAAAGTATATAGGGGTTGTTTTGCGCTATTGCTTGTAAACTGCGAAAATCATGCATCTATTATAGTCTCCAAAATTAAGCTTAAATCGAAAAAGTTGTTGAAAACAACAAAAAGAATCTCTTTTTTCGTAGTCTCAAAATTTTTCCCTTATTACAGTGTTTGTATTCAAAAAATAGCAAGGAATCAAGAGTCCATTATTTCAAAGTGCATGCTTGTAATCCAAGCGTATTGTACCTATATACCAAAATTGTTTTTCCTGGAAATTTTCAATTTCAGCATTTCTGGCATTATTCAAAGTACATCAATAAAGTCAGAAACTTCGCATTGGGACACGATCTCAAATTTTCCCGGGGCAGTCATTGTTCGAACTGATTATCCGACCTGCCCGCTTTGCTGAAACGTCTCCGAGAATCAATACTTGTTTGTACTTACTATTTCCAATTTCAGCGCTATTTTTGACAGTACAAATGAATCACTTTCCCATGAGGTTAAAAACCCTAAAAATTACCGTATAAGTAACAAGAGCATTTTATTTTATCGCAATAAAATATAAATTCGCATAAAAATCAAACAACAATAAAATTGACTCGAAACTAGTCATCAAACCATATTGCACATGGGTAATATAATTATACACCATTCCTCCCAAGTTATTCATTCACTGGTATCTATGTTGCA